TTAGACTCGTCCACCTGTATTCCTTCCCAGAAACAACTACCCCAAGAACAAGACTTTAGGAACCATAACACACATTTCTTCATAGCTGTATACAAACTATCTCGTCGAAGTATAGTCAAAACCTGCCTCACATGGTTGACATGCTCACCAAAAGTAGCACTGTAAATAAATATGTCATCAAAATAAACGACTACAAATTTACCAATAAAGGGCCTGAACAACTGGTTCATCACATGCATAAATGTACTAGGAGCGTTTGATAAACCGAAAGGCATCACCAACCACTCATACAATCCTTCACGAGTCTTGAAGGCAGTCTTCCACTCATCCCCAGGCCTAAGTCGAATATGATAGTACCCGCTCTTCAAGTCCAGTTTCGTAAAGATAGAGGCACCGCTAATCTAGTCAAGTAGGTCATCAAGTCGAGGAATTGGAAATCTGTACCTCATTGTGATCTTATTGATGGCGTGACTATTAACACACATACACCAAGTACCATCCTTTTTAGGAGTCAACAAAGCAGGAAGAACACACGAGCTCATGCGCTCCCGAACATGACCTTTTGAAATCAAGTCCTCCACATGTTGTCGCAACTTCTCATGCTCTCCGGGACTCATTCTGTAATGTGGCCTATTAGGCAACTGAGCTCCTAGTTGTAAATCAATATGATGTTGGATGTCACGTAAAGGTGGCAAACCATCAGGTAATTCATTAGGGAAGACATCAACGAATTCCTTGAACAAAGGAACCATAGCCTTAGGAATTTCAACCTCCTTAGCGACTTCCTTCCCTAGCAATACAAAAATTTCACCTTCCGCCTCCAACTCGTCTTCAAACTGAGTAAGGGTCAGTAGAGTACCCGAAGGTCTCGGAACTGGCTCCTTTGGCTTACTGGGAACCAATGTTATCTTCACACCACCAAACAAGAAACTATAAGTATTAGTCCGCCCGTTATGATCTATGTTATGATCATACTCCCAAGGTCTGTGTAACAACGCAAATTTTCAAACAAAATTTTCATTTAAAATAAAGTGATTTTATTCAACTGAATATAATTATTCCAAGTTTCATATCAAAATACAATAATAAAATCCCCAAGATCTCAAAATAACAACAGTGTGTACTCATCACGCCGGCGCCTTTCCACGGTCCTCGCTAGTACCTGAAACACATACATAACAACTGTAAGCATAAATGCTTAGTGAGTTCCCCAGTACACTACTTACACATATACGCCTTTCCAGGCCCTGACCTTCCGGTCTACAATACAACGCCTTCCGGCCCGTAACATAATCGCCTTCCGGCCCATAACATATATGCCTTCCGGCCCATAACATATTGCCTTCCGGCCCATAAACATGCACAACATAATACATTTATCCTAACACATATAGCACATATATCATATATCATATCCGACCTTTCGGTCACATAACATATTGCCTTCCGGCCCACATAAACATACATAGCACGCATAGCAATTACCTTTCCATTTATAGCACTTATAACACATATCATATCCGACCTTCCGGTCACACAGTCAAACCCTTCCGGGTACAGTATAGTGAGAAGACTCACCTCGTGGGTAATGAAAGCTAGCGACTCCTGAAATCACTCGCACTCGATCCGCCGAGCTACAGACTCCCTATAATATCATATATCCCTTATTAATACTTTTATCTTTCAAGACAACTGACCCTAAGAAATCACATGTAGGTCAACTCTGGTCAACGGTCAACGGTCAACTTGACCGGACTCGGCGAGTGCTAAGGCGACTCGGCGAGTCTAGACGTCCTCACCAAATCCTGATGTTCCCTTTCTACTCGTCGAGTATCCCTCTTGACTCGACGAGTTCCTCGTGGAAGAATCGCGGGGCCACCCCGACTCCACTCGCCGAGTCTGAAGAACAGCTCGACGAGTCCCAGTTAATCTCCAAGCTACTCGCCGAGTCTGTTCATCGGACTCGGCGAGTCCATGCCATGCAGTCGATCAAACTGCTTCCTGAGATCAGTATTGTCCCGACCATTCATAGGTGGTCCTCCTAAGCTGGTACAATACGTAAGACCTTCATTTAGGTGCTCATGCTACACCCCAAGACTTGTAATTTACCTTTTGACTTAAGGCATAAGGATTCCAATCCAAAACCTCTCTTAATTCCCGAAATACACAGGCACGGGACATTATGGACCTCTAAAGGTCCTAATACAGGGTTATAATCAATCTAGTCACAAAAGGGTTCCATAAACCCTAAATCCATGCACACATCAACATAGCAGAATATGATCCGAAATATTACCTGAATAATGCACTCTCTGTGTCCCCAATCCTCAGAACTTGATTCCCTTGCTGTTCCTTTAGCCAAACTCTTCTCTTCCTTGCACAATAACTTCTTCAAGATCACCAATGGCCTTCAATCCTTGCTCTAGATGCCCACAACCGATTTAGGGTTCTTCTCAGTCGCTAAAGACGGACAATGACAGCCTATAAGTCCGTTATATACGTTCCAAAACCGAACGGCTAGGGTTTCCGCTGAACAGCGCACACTCGCCGAGTCCTTAATGGACTCGTCGAGTCCAATCGTGAACCCGCGACCAAGTCTGTGGTCCTACTCGGCGAGTCTGGCTCCAACTCGCCGAGTCCCCTCCTAAAACACCCCAAAAACAATATTATGACAATACCTGAAATTCCAGGCTGTTACAGTCTGCCCAACAACAAATGACAAGCGTGCATAGC